GCAAAAATGGACTTTGGCGTGCATATGATACGCATGTGTTTGGCGTGCATATAATACGCAGTTTTCGCGTGCATATGATACTAAATTTGTTGGCGTGCATATGATATGCAGTTTTCGCGTACATATGATAATACCCCACAACCCTAAACCTACCCATCACGTAGCATATACACGCCAAAGTCCATTTTTGCGTATCAGTACCACGAGTTTTCATTTTTATTTGGCGTACTATTTATACGCACTTTCATGAGATCGGGTTGGATATCTAAGGCTGCAGGATGCTTTTGGTGTGCGTTTCATCTGTTGGTCCACTAACAGGACGTCCTGCATACGATACATACGGATCTTCTCAATCAAGAGCTAAAAGTCCGATAAAATCAAATCAAATCAAAGTTGTCAAAACGAACAACTCTTACGAATATTATACACTATTTACCAATCCATTCCTCTACTCGCGTGATTATTGTGCGTGATTCCAGTGCAAATTCATCAAAGACCTTAAGAGCATGTGCCATATGTAATGAAAACTAGTTTCTCGTTTGTAAAACTACAAAACTGACATATTGGGCCTCAATCAAAAAATCTGAGAGAATTGTTTGCGTAAAGCCTTACAAACACTGTTACTTTGGACTGAATGTCAATTTAAATGTTTAGTTCACCCAAAAATGGGTGATCATTTACTCACCCAAACCCAAAAGAGAGTAAAGATATTTGTTATATTCTCTTAATAGTTTCGTCCATCCATTGAAAATCCACACATCTAAAAATGTCAAGTTTCAAGAAGTTTATAAAGACATCGTAACAATAAATGCATATGAAACGATTCCAATTCTTCTGATCAAATATTATGGTAAACAGAAGCTTATGTAGGCTACTTGGCTGACACGTGAAAACATTTTTTTCTTCTGTTTACCATATTTGATGCACTCTATGTATGTTTGTTGATCAATGTTTATATGTGAATCAAAGCCTAAATTAAATCTGTTCATTGTATAAAGCATTTGTGTCTTTTCAGAGGACTTGGCTTAAACCACTTGATAGATATGAATTACTTTTATGATGTCTTTATGAACTTTTCGAAGCTTGAACATTTTGGTTGCGTGTACTTTCAATGGATGGACAAAAATTATGAGAATATTAAAACGTCTTAATTTGTGTTTTGTAGAAGAACGAAAGTTAAATCGGTTTGGAACCACATAAAGGCAAGTAAATGATTTGAAAATTAATATATTTACTTTTCAGTTAACTAAAGATTTAAATTAAGCTTTACTTTACAGAAATTCAGTTTGAATTTAATGTGAGAGGTCCAATTAGTCGAACCTGCATCTGCTTGTTAATCACTTGGACGACAAAACACTAAAAAGCCATCTTTTTTTTGGATTTCCGATGTCTCATACAGCCTTGTTTTCATTCGTAACAAATTAAAGGGTTAGTTCACCCAAAAATGAAAATGTGATGTTTATCTGCTTACCCCCAGGGCATCCAAGATGTACAGCCCAAGAAAAATTTTATGTTTATATATTAAATACATTTATAAATAAATTTAATTATATGAATATAAATATATATATATTTTTTGATGTGACATGTGGCCAAGTATTGGTGACCCATACTTGGAATTAGTGCTCTGCATTTATCCCATCCATACAAACAAAAAAAAATTCTATTGCTTTTTGTTATAAAAAAAGGTTATAAAAATGTCAATAATTATCGATACCGAACAATATGAAACATTATATCATTGATACATTTTTTTGCTATATCGCCCAGCCCTACATCAAGGTTTAAAAAAAAACAAACAAAGAGTGCGTCTAAATTGAAAAACCAAAAATGCAAAGCTTGAAGCTCAGGAAGCTTTCATAGATAATTAGGCAATAATAATAAAAATTGGTCTTATTCTTGAGCAACACAATTCAGGAATGTCTTAAATTATAAAATACTAATAAAAATAAGTAATAAAAGCAAACTCTCCTGAACCCCTAAAATATTAAAAAGTCCAGAAAAGCCAATAAAATAAAATAAAACATGTTCTACCGCACGGGTTTGTTGTGTCATTGAGCAGACGGTGTGTGTGTGCATATATAAATACAGACGCACACCATCACGCTCAATCATAAATATGCAAGTGAGAATACAAACAAAACATCGACACAGCTTTACCTTCCTGTTTCCGTCATGTTTACAAGAAACGTTCTGTAGTGTGCAGCATCCATACATTCTTGTAACAACATTAAACTCTTCCAATAAATTAATACGTTAGCAACAAGCACAGAAGCTGCTGGAGTGTCTACTGCATAAGAAATGAGCATCTACATTCCCCTTCGAGCCGAAGGCGTCTTCCGTTGTCCGCTGATCCTCTCGCTCACTCTTTGGATGGGCTGAAAGGATTCAGTGCTGGCGGGCCTCATGTAGGGCTGGCCTTGTGAGCGTCTCTCCTCAGCTCCTGGATGTGTGGTTCCTGTTGGGTCAGAAAGTATTTGAAGAACTCATACACGGACCAGGCGATGGCCGTAGATGGCATCTGATAAATCACCCGCGCTCTGATGCCTTTAAAGAAGGCCGGCACGCCGCCCAATCGGTACACTGTCCTGAGCGCGTTCACCATGCCGGAGAGATGTCCGCTAACGTGCGCGGAGCTGAGCACCACGTTTTCCTGCGTGTTTAGCAGCGTCTTGCACACGTCTAATGGAGTGGTTATGGCAGCGGACACGGCTCCGGCCGCCGCTCCGGACAGGATGTGCGTCTCGGGCCGGTACTGGCGCTGGGGGTTAAAATGTTCCTGCATGAATTCGTAAGTGATGAAGTGGACGGCCTGAAAGGGGATGTTCATGGTCAGCTGAGTGCTGTAGCTGCGGTAGAAGGCGCCCAGGCCTTCCTTGCGACTGACCGTCAGGACGCAGTCATATAGGCTGCGGTATGGGGAGTTATACATCTGCATCCTCTGCTTCACCACTGAGAGAGAGACAGTGAAAAAGATCTTATGTGAAAATGATAACATTCACTGTACTTTACTTATCACTCTCTGGCGAATGCAAATAGGTGATTCTATGCTAAGCCGTATGAACCATGATTTTCATGATTAATAATCAGTGTTGGGGAGTAACTAGTTTTATTTACAAAATAAATGTAACTGTAATCCGTTACAGTTATTGGGGAAAAAATGTGTAATTAAATTAGTTACTTACAAAAATTTTAACAATTTCAAAGGGAGTTACATCTGAATACTTTCACACACATACAGATTTGATTGATTTCTTTCCCAAATCTGCATTTTAGCACCTCCGGTTGGGTTTTTTGAATGGATTTTTCGTTTAAAAGCTTAAAATAAGGTCTTTGTTTGACACAAGCTCAAGATATTTTCATGTTTTATTCTACGACATGAAATACATCAGTAAATGTGTTCATTTGTGAAGATTATCACAATGAACAAAACATGATGTGATAGTCATGTGAGAATTTTTGTTGGTCATGGAGCTTATTTTCTGCAATAATCCAAGAATCCAGTGAAATTCCTATTGGATTTTTGTTGAGGGAAGCAGGGTGACTCCAACTTCTGAGTTGGCCTACAAAAATACATCATCACTGCAGCACTATATTGTGATACTTTCTGCATTGGCCAATATCAGCGTCTGATTGGCTGGTTAACAAAAGTGGCCCAGACAGCCTTGTCAAAGGATGCACATTTTGTGTTTTCAAATACTTGTAAGTTCTTTTAATCAAGCAATAATGTTTGCATCATATCTACTAGTATTATACTGACATCAGCCATTAAAGAAAGTAACACATCGTTATAAAAAAAAAAAAAACTTCACAAAGACCACACAGTCCTTTCAGCCATCAAGCAATAATGTTTGCATCATATCTACTAGTATTATACTGACATCAGCCATTAAAGAAAGTAACAAAATCGTTATAAAAAAAAAAAAACTTCACAAAGACCACACAGTCCTTTCAGCCAACTGTCAATTTACTACAATTGAGTTTTTTCATGCTCATTAAAAATGCATATTAACTGTATTATTAATTACATATTATACAATAATGATAATTATAATAATAATAATAACAACTAACTTGATTTTAATGACATATTTTTGTTTCTATTGTCTAGACCAGGGTTTCCAAACAGGGCTTAATGAAGGAAATGCAGGAGGTTTGTGAGATGTTGAAAGTCTTATTTAAATAAATCATTAAAAAAAGTAAATCGGCTAACTAAAAGATGAATCCCTGGATAAAATCTAAAATTATTGTTGATGAAATGTGGAATTTCTTGGGCGTATTCTGCTACAGCTATCTTGAAGACCCCAAAACAAACCACTTTTCAGTGTACTTATAACAGTATTAAAATATAAGGTTCATTATTGACTGTAGAAGATTACCTTCTGCTGGGTTCATGATAGCATCGTGGAGGACAGTGGCAACACTTCCCGCCACACCTCAAGTGGAAAAGAGAAGAAAAATTATGTACATCACCATATCAAGTCACAACATGTTGAAAAAAACAGAACAGAAACTCATATGCTCATATGCTACATTTACAATGTACAACAGACAAAGGGGCGCTCCACTTTCCATTCCTTTTCCTCAAAAAGATGGCACAATGGACAGGGGGGAGGGGTAACTAATTTTACATAATAATTACAAAATTTGTCTAATTTTTAAAAAAGGTTTTTATTTAATGAAAAATTTGCCTTATTAAACTAACTATTATTTATAAGCTTTTTTCCCTTCTGGGGCCTGAAATTGAGGAATTTTGCTCAATATTGATAATTAAACAATATTTTGCTTGCTGAATGTGTTTTTGTGCTGACACCTTGGCTGGTTTAGGCCCGTCATGGATAATGATGATAATAAAATCGCCAGTAGGTGGCAGCAAGTCCCTGTTTTAATAAATTATTTATTGAATCATTCAAATCAAACGATTCATTCAAAACCGCTGATTCAATTAGAAACTAAACAAGTGAGTCCATCTGAATGAGCCGTTGAATCACTGGCTCACTCGATTCGTTCAAAAACTGATTCATTCAAGGAACAAAACACTGTGTTGCTCTGCACTGTTGTATACAATTAATAGCACATTTGTGCTGGCGCACGTGCTGATATTTAGAAAAGTACATGGCTTGTGCAATGAATATAAAAACTCATACATGGGTATTTTTTCTTTCATTGCTTGAATTATAAGGGCAGTCTAACTGCATTCTAACAGGCTTCATCGCGCAGTGAATGCTTTTGGACTCTCAAGACATGTTTTTGTTTGGTTTTTGCAAAGTCGATGACTGGATAATATCAGCTCTCTTATCATCTCTGAATCCCTCACAGTCACACATACAGCACAGTAAATGTCAGGGGTATGTCTTTAAATTCTAATCAAGGAAAAATCATACCTTCAGTTGTCTTCTTTTTAAAGAACTTCAAAAGTTGCGCTTGAACCATTTTGCGCGAAAAATGACGAAAACTTGCTTCCACTTGTGTATGGAGCTTATAATATGACAAAACTAATTGAATTTGTATTGTGTAAATTTGAATTATTGACTAGCGTAATTTAACAAAACTGAATATTATGTGGCATTCAACATAGTTCTGAATTGGATTTTTTTAAACTTGAATATTAAACATTTGAAATTTAACACAACTGAATATTTTTATGGCAGAGTTTTAAAGACATGTATTTTCAAACAGCTAATTTTTTGTTCTGAAATCTTAGACTGCAAATATCCAGTTTTTAAAAATACAGCTTCAAGTTTTCAAGATGAAGAGGAAATTCTGAACATCAAATTCAATATTCTAAAATTCAATACGCAGAAATTCAGACTGTAGAGAAAGTAGGTTATAGGTAATCCACAGGGAAGAGTAGATGATCTCCGAAAAGTCAAACGAAGCATTTTGGCCAATTAGTAGTTTTCTGGCGTAAGCGTGCGGTTCAAGATCTACCTGATCATGAATCGCCCAGAGGTAGCCTAAGTTATTCTTAAACATTTATGGTTTATATACTTATATGTTAGGTTAGCATTCTCAGCATGTGAAGCATTTGCCTAAGCCAGTGGTTCTCAACCTTTCTTACTCCAAGGCCCCCCTCCTATCCAAATCAATACATACTTTGCAAAAATGTCACTGCACATATTCTTTACAACTTAAAAGTGGCTATGTAAACCTTAATGTGACGAGAGGGGTGGGGCCGAGAGCCATGGGAACGGAGCGAGGCCGGTGGAGTAATTGCTAATGCGCGACACCTGCGCCACTCACCGGTC